AAAATATGATTTCAATTTTTAACTAATCAAAGAAAAATTTATTTTTTAAAGAACTCTTTACAATTTTCTTCAAGGAACAGAAAAGTACATTAGAAACTCGATTCAGGAGAAATGTGTTTACTTTACGTAGGTTTTTTCTACACAAAACCTTAATATCTCTTTGAAATAGACACTAAAATCATTCTTAATTTAGAAGCAGTGTTTCAATTGAATTTTTAAATTATCTCGAAAATATAAAAATATCGAGTTTATATATAAACTAGCAAACGTTACGCGCGCGGAACGTCAAATTCAATTTATTATTATTATGCAAATTACAAAATTTTTTATTTCCCAATATAAATTATTGAATAATTTCATAATCGCAAAATTTAAAAAATCCACTTATTAAGTACAGAATTAATTATTAGGTATTGTTTACAGTTTCAAAAATTTGAGTACAATTCTTTGGAAGAATGCAATTATTCTCATAAATAACAAACATTCTTCGGAATAATTCAGTTATTTTTATAAATAATAAAATTTCTCAAAGAATTTCAATTATGTTCAAAAATTTTAATAAAATTCTTCCGAAAAATTCAATTATCTTCATAAAAAGTAAAATTCTTTTAAAGAATTTAATTATTTTCTTAAATTTATTTTCTTAAATAATAAAATTCTTCGGAGGATTTGAATTATTTTCAAAAATTTGAAACAAATTCTTGTCCAGAATTCAATGTTTTCGTAAATAATTGAATTCTTCGGAGGATTTCAATTATTTTCAAAAATTTGAAACAAATTCTTGTCAAGAATTCAATTATCATCATAAAAAATAAAATTCTTTGGAAGATTTCTATTATTTTGATTAATAATAAAATTCTTCGGAGGACTTTAATTTTTTTTCATAAATAATTGAATTCTTCGAAGGATTTCAATTATGTTTAAAGATTTTAATAAAAATCTTCCTAAAAATTCAATTATTTTCATAAGAAGTAAAATTCTTTTGAAGATTACAATTATTTTCTTAAATAATAAAATTCTTCGGAGGGTTTTAATTTTTTTCATAAATAATTGAATTCTTGTCAGAATTTAAATTATTTTCAAAAATTTGAAACAAATTTTTATCAAGAAATCTTTTTGAAATAAAATTCATGGCAAAAATTATTTTAAAATGTTGAAAAAATTCTTTGTTTAATTCAATTATTTTCAAAATTTTTCAATTGAAATTATTCAAGAAACTACATTATTTTAAAAAACACAAAGAAATTTTTTCAAATGAATTGAATTATTTACAAAAACTCTAATAAAAACCTTAAATAGTATCCATTCCTTGAAAGAATTGAATTATTTTCAATATTATAATAAAATTCTTTGAATGAATTAAATTATTTTGTAAAATTGTAATAAAATTCTCAGAAGAATTTTATTATTTTCTAAAAATTTCAATAAAATTCAATAATTAAAAAATAATAAAATAAATAAATAATGTTTAATTTCAGTTGTTAAAAAACACGATTATTTTAAAAACTTGAAAGAAATTGTATTTAATTACTTTAGAAATTTGCGATTAAAATTCTTATAGAGACTACATTATTTAAAAAAAATTCCAAAAAATTCTTCAAATTCTTCAAATTTAATTAGGATTTTTAAAAATTTGAATAAATTTTTTCTCGAGAATTCAATTATTTTTATAAATAATAATATTCTGCGAAGAAATTCAATTATTCTCAAATTTTTTGACAAATTTCTTTGCAAGAATTCAATGATTTTTAATACATTCATTTTAAAATTGAAAATATTTGAAAAGAAAAATTATTTAAAAAGTTAGGAAACAAAAAAGCAAACAACAACTAACTTTAAACTGCGAACAGATTATCGGAATACAACGATTATTATCAATATAGATTAAACGAATATTTGAAAAATTAATTCGACATATTGGATCCGCCATTTTGAATTTTACAATTTTGATAGTATTTAAATTCTACGATTTGAAAATCATTGAAATACGAATGTTTCGAAGCCTTTCATTGATAAAATATTAATTCAATTACCAAAATAATAAAATATTCTAATATTTAAATTTAAATCGAGATGAAATTATATCACAAAGAAAATTTCATAGAATTATGTTAAACTGACAATTGAAAAAAGATTTTATCAACGAAAGGCGACTGTTAGTTAAAATCGGACTCTTGTTCGAAATTTTGAAAATTTAGTCCTTTATTTTCGTAATTTGATTTTTTCATTTTTATTAATTACCATTTACTCAGTTTAAATTTCGTTTAATAAAAAAAAATTTGTTGATCATTTTTACGAAATATCTGAGGTTTTTGAAAAAAACGACGAAAATTAACACACTATGACAATCGAAATTCTAATGTAATTAAAGGAATTCGCTTTCTTTAGACGAAGAACAATTAATAATTACGTTAAAAAATAATATCACTATGTAAACATTATGAACGATAGAACATTCAGATTTCTCACTTTTGCAATTCGCTTGAACAATTTGCGGAAAACTTTCATTTAACTATGGAAACAATGATTTTTTTAAAAGTATGCTCACATTCACAAAATATTGTTTATCACATTCTTATCGACTTATAATCTATTTTTTAATAATACCGTACATTAATAATATTGTGTACATAGTAAATAGATATATCAATTCGTAATCTAATTTTGTGTCACATGGGGACTTTTTTTTGTTCATTTCAGTTTAAAAGTAAACTTTCAAGGATTTCCGATTCCTTCTAAAATTTAACTTTTGTTTTTAAAATTCATTTTTTTTAGATGATCGTTCGTTTTTATATTTTTTCTTGACAAACATTTTTAGAATGAAATGAATCATTCTTCTTTAATGAGAATAATAAAATTTTAAGTTTCTTCTTTTACAAATCAATTATTGATGAATTTTTTTTAGGAAACTATTTAGTAAAAATATATTTAGAACATTGATTATCATCTAAATTACTTCCATATTACTATTTTTATGCATAAAAATGCTTCATTTTCTCTCTGTAATTTAAACAAGTTTCTTTTATCACTAAACCACAATCTGATTCTTTTCTCTCTTTATTTTTTATGAAAAAATCAACTATAATCAACAATCTTTCTGCAATCGACGAAGGAACAAAAATATTAGGCACAAAACTCAATTTTTTTTTACATAAATAACTAGTGGAATGTAACTGACAAACTTCGTTAAAATATCTTTGAATAATATTATTAGCGACAACGATTAATCATATAAATATTATGTATATAGAATAAAAATTCTTTTACAATAATTTTAATTCACAATTTGCAAATAACCACTTGATTAAGTAAAGCCCTTTTTCATGGAAGATATATTTTCTTTATTCATTCGTTGTCAAGAGTAAATTTTCTCGCATCGAAACCATCGGAATTCATTCGATGCCATCGCACAAAAAAAAAGTTTTTCTATTATTCTATACCAATCGAAATTCTCTCGCTTAAACCAAAAAAAAACCAACTTTTCTAGCAATTCTAAATTTATTATCGAGTTTTCTTAAATTTTAATTACTTACAAGTTAAATTCGAAAAATGCAGTTTCTCTCTTATTTTAGGTACGCTGTATTTTTTTTATTACTGAAAAACTATCGTTTTATTTTAAATTGTAAAATTATTGATTTTCAATATTTTATTTGAAAGAGTATCGAGTTTTTCTAACTGCAAAAGAAACTGTATTTTAAATTTATTTTTTCTCATTTTTTTATCTGTAAAAGCTAATAATTTTTTTTGTGTTAATTAGTTTTTGAGCGAGATTTAAGAAGCGTATAAGAAAAAATTTAGTAAAAAAAAGAAAGTTACTGTTATTTTGTTCATATTTGTATTTAATTGAGAAATATAGATTTCTTCACAAATGTAACATATTGGAAAACAATATATAAAAGCTTTCTTTCGCTTAATCGAGAGTGATTCTCGTAAAATCCAACATTGAAACACACAAATATTCCTTAGAAAATATGACACTGAATTTTCTCTTGATTGACATTTTTATGTTTAAAAAAATACCTTTTTATCCAAATTTCTGTCAGAATTTCTAATTTATCGGAAATTTTAATACAAAATTTTTATCAAGTTCTATAACTCAATATTTCGTCTGTAAACAAAAACATTTTTAGTTTCTCGATTTGAAGAACAAATGTAAAGACTTAAATATTAATTAATTTTGTTTATATTTTAAATTTTTATTTAAATATTCTGACTTTTTATTTCACAAAATTTTTTTTAATTTTCCGTAAAATATTAATAGTAGATATTCAATATTGTTGATGTCCTTCACCAATTTTTGATAAATAGGTGACTTCAAATAGACGTAAAAATACTTTTAAGGAAGAATCCGACAAACAATCCGAACAAAAGTTAGTCCAATGTCATAATTTCGGATTTTAAAAGAAAAGGTCACATTAAATTTTAAATTCCTTTCGGTAGAAGCGTAAGGTATTTAATTTTCTACATTTTGAATAACTTAAAGTTATATTTGAATAAAAATTACAATTTTGTCAATAAGAAACATTTATTAAATTTTAGGTTATGTTACTTAAATCATTTATTATTGACAAAAAAAGTATAATTTGTATTCAAATATAACTTTAAATTATTCAAAATATAAAAAATTAAATACCTTACGCTTCTACCGAAAGGAATTTAAAATTTAATGTGACCTTTTCTTTTAAAATACGAAATTATGACATTGGACTAACTTTTGTTCGGATTGTTTGTCGGATTCTTCATTAAAATGAAAGGATAAATTTCCGCAAAATTTAGAATATATTTTTTTCAAATCGACAAAATTTCAAAGGTTCCTTTTGAATATTATAGACAAAATATAAAAATACAAAACTTAAGAAATAAAAATTTTTCTATACTGAAATTCCGATCAAATAGAAATTCCGCCAACTATTTTTTAATTTAACTGAATTAAAAAGTAATTTATCTTCTCCGTCTTGAAATAATTTATATATTAGTGATTGACGTACATTATTTAAAAAAAACTCAACAAACATTTATTTACAATAATGAAAAAAAAGAAAAATATTACGTATAATCCTTCAAACTTCTTCTAAATCAAGTCTCGTGAACATCTAATTATAATGAACAGTGTGTTTTATTAATAATACAAGAAAATGTGACCGATTTTTGAATCGATTTTAAAAGGCTCTAAAGAGCAAATCAACTGATCGAAACATGAAAATAATTTTTGCTCACCATGCACGGAAAGTATGTCATTTTGTGCAATTAAAGTTTCTCGTACACTTAAATGATATTCTTTTCGCCGTACAGATAATGACAAAAAGTACAATGTGCACCAGCGGAGAGCGGACACAAAAAGCACCCTCGATACACAGAGTAATATTGTACGTCCGACTTGAAGTAAAAAAGTTCGTTCGAACAATAAACGCAGTCTTGATGCTTTACAAGAAATCGGCAAAATTAATATATATTATATATAATTTGCCAAATTTTCACAATAGTGCAAAAATTGATTGACGAGCGCAAACAGATGAAATTTATACAACTTTCCAAAATATAAAGGCCGCTAAACGTCTCTTTGATGTGCAGTATCTCTGATCGATTGATTTTTTTTTCCATTTTTTTTTTTTTTGGTTTCTTAACAGAATTGAGATACGAAAATTTGTTTTTCTTTAAATTTATTAAGAAAAAGGCGCTCAGTGACTGTAAGTTTGGCTTGTGCTCACTGAATAAAGGCGAGATTCAAGTTTTGAGCAAGAACTCGTAAGATGCTCCGATCAGAGGCTAATATCACCATATTCCAGGCTCCATTTTTCATAAGCGGCTAAACTGGCTGGTGAAACCGACCTGCGGATTCTTTTCAAACTATCTAAAAAATCTTTAATTGTAATATTTCGCACGAGATTCAAGTCCACCTCTTTCACTTGTTCTGGATTTAATTCTGCAATAAATACAACGTTTTTATTAGAGACAAAAAAGATAATTCAGGTAGAATACAATATTAATCGATATTTTTTATATATTTATTTTACTCGCAATCAGCGACCCCGAAAATCCCCCAAGTAACGAATTTGAGATGAATTTGGTCAATTTTTAAAAAACTTGTCCGCCATATTGGATCCGCCATTTTGAATTTTGAAAAATTAACATCAGATTTGTAATTAGCGACCCCAAAAACCTCCTAGCAACAATTTTCAGCCAAATCCAATGAATTTTTCAAAAACGTGTCCCGACATATTGGATCCCCTATTTTGAAATTTTGAAAACTGACATTGGATGTAATGAATTGTCATTTTTAATCCAATCCAGGTCGATAAGGACTCAAAAGTTTCGTAATGAAATAGACTATCAATAAAAAATTTAAAACCTACACATTTTTTACTTTTTGTTGTGGAAAAAATTAGCAGAAATTACTCAAGTGTCTAAAAATCATAAAAATTTCCATGAAATTTGATCTTTTATCGACTGTAACTCCCTTAATTTTTTATGGTGTACAAAAAATAAATTATCTCTCAATATCTCTAAATGTCAAATTCTAACTTTTCATAAATCTAATTTCCCTTTCTTTTCCCCTACCAATTAAACAACACTTTTAAAAATATAAAAAAATAAAAAATAAATAAATAAATAAATTTAAAAAAATAAAATAAAATAAAAAAAATATATAAATAATAATATAGGTAATATAAAGTAAGTATCACATAGACAGTGAAAATTTGCTGAAACTAATGAATTTCAGGATCCCCTGTCAATCTTCCAGGGATGTTGCACCTTTTTATATAAACAAAATGACTTGAATTTAATTAAAACTTCTCCGATCTTTTTTGCGTGTTCCCAAATAAATCAAATGTATAATTCTTTTCGTACAGATATGGACTTATTTGTAGCATCTCAAGCTAAATTTTTGAATCTGTAAAAAAGTATGTTGTCAGTCTACGAGAGCACAATTGATCACGTCACTATTAGCTTAGGTATATATATTCTTTTTATTTCATTTTATTTCCTTTTCTTAATAGTTTAGTTTATTACATTATTTTACTAAATCTTACATAAATTTTTGTTTTTTATTCTTATAATTCTTTTTTGTAACACATTTATGGTTCTTCTTAGGACTGCGGGGATGTATTTTGATAAATAAATATCTCGGTCAAATTTCAACCGATTTTGATGAATTAAGCACCAATTGTTTCAGAAAATTATAATTATGCTATCTAAAATGGTTTGTGATGCGAATACACCTTATTGCTTTTTATGACTATGCAAATCTTGTCCTGGAGTAAAATCTGTGATTGAAAATGTACGCAAAATTTCCGAGACTAATATTATCGAAGAAATTACTTACAATAAATGGATATCAACAGATCGTACATCGCTTGAAACTGTCAGTGTCTCTGCTGAGAAATATTTGGAAGAACTTTCTGAACATTTAATTGATCTTCTTAAACATGATTTCATTGCCAAAAGTCAAAGCAAATCTCATAAGGAAAGCAAACAAAATCTTAAAGAAGGTGAGTTTATAATATTGTTCGATTTTGTTCAGAATCATCAGACCGTTATTCAAAACGCAGTTCAAAGTGAATATTGGAACAAGAAACAAATTAAAATTCTTCCCGCTGTAATTTATTACAAAAAAATAGCAAAAGCGAATGCGAAAGTTATACAATCATTTCTGAAGATTTGAAAAGTAACACAAACGAAGTTAACCTGTTCCTGGAAAAATGGGTGTCTACTGAAAATATGACTTAAAATTCCAGGACATTTTCAGGACATTCCAGGACAGATTTCTTATATTTCCAGGACATTTATATGTGTAACAGGGTTGCCACAAGTCAGGGAAGTCAAGGAATTCAGGGAATAGTCAGGTATTTTTACTAAAAGTACTGGAAGAAATTTAATTTTTAGAATTTATAGGAAAATTCTGAATTTTGGTGTCTTTTTTGTTTGCCTTAAAAACTATGAAATTGCCAAGAATTCTAATACAAACCCTTCAATTTTTTCTATTTTTAACAATAATTTCTTTTTAAATAACTTTTAAATAAACTTCGCATAGATTCAATTATGTTCAAAAATTGTTTTAAATTCTCGTCCAAATTTCAATTATCTTTATAAATAATAAAATTCTTCTCTAAAATTCAATTATTATTAAAAAATTTAATAAAATTCTTGTAAAAATTTCAATTATTTTAAAAAATTTCCTCATTTCAATTATATTTTAAATCTACTATTTTAATAAAATTTTCCAAAAGAATTCTATTATTTAAATAAAATTTTAATAAAAATTTAACAGGAATTCTATTACTTACCAATTTCTTTTATAAATTTCTTCGCATCAATTCAATTATTTGAAACTTTTCAATGAAGTTTATTGAAAGAATTCAAATATATAAAGAAAATTGAAAAAAAATAGTCTGAGAAATTCAATTATTTCGAAAAATTGAAATAAAATTCTTTTAATAATTCTATTATTTAAAAAAATGTTGACAAAATTCTTTCCAAGATTTAGTTCATTAAATTGCAATTTTAATAAAATTTTCCTATACAATTCAATTGATTTTAATACATTTCTTCTTAAGAATTCAATTATTTTCACAAATAATACATTTTTTTGTGGAAATTCAATTATTTAAAAAAATTTGAATAAAATTCTTCGCTAGAAATCAATTATTTTCTTTCTTGAGAATTCAATTATTTTTAAAAATTTTGATAAAATACTTTATAAATTTGAAAAATTATAAAAAAATGGGTCATAGAATATAATTATTTTCGTAAAATACAACATTTTTCTACAAATACAAATATTGTCAAAAATGTTTGTAAAACTCTTCGAAACAATTCAACTATTTTCGTAAAAAATAAAATTCTTCTAAGCAATTCAATTATTTAAAAAATTTTAATAAAATTCTTCCCAAGAATTGAATTTTTTTCAAAAATAAACATTTTCACAGGAATTTAATTATTTAAAATTTTTTTTTTAATTCTTTGTCAGATTTCAATTCTTTTCAATTTTTTAATAAAATTTAATTATTTTTAAAAAGTTTTTAAAAATTCTGAAAAATTCAATTATTTAAAAAAATTTGAATAAAATTCTTCACAAGAAATTAATTATTTTCATAAATAATAATATTTTTCTCTGGAATTCAATTATTTTTACAAATAAAATTCTTCACAGGAATTCAATATTGTTTAACAAGATTTTTAATAAAATTCGTTGCAAGAATTCAATTATTTTTATAAATAACAAAACTTATTGCAGAATTTCAATTATTTTTATAAAATTTTAAATAAAATTATAGAAAATTGCATTTATTCTTATAATTTTTTTTTTTAAATTCGCCGAAAGAATTCAATTGTTATTAAAAATTTTAATAAAATTCTTCATAAAAATTCAATTTTAAAAAACATGCAATTACTGAAAAAATTATTTATTTTTGTATTTAAATAATTGAATTCTCGGAAAACTTTCTAATAAAGATTGATTAAAAAATGAATTTCAGTTAAAATTTTAAATTATAATTGAATATTAAAAACATTATATGTAGTGTGAATTTTTAGAAAATTCCCTGAATTTGAGAATCATAATTCCTATTAGAAAAATAATAATGATTAAATATTTATTTAAAAAAGAAGTTATTAATGTTCTTCAGGGTCAGGGAAAAAGTGAAAATTTTGTCTGGAAATCAGGGAAAAGTCAGGGAAAAACAAAATTAAAATTTTGTGACAACCGTGTGTAATATTATTTCATATTACGATTAACATAATTTAAATTAACCTACTTGAACAAAAATATTTATTTTATTATAAAAAGAGTTAAAAATCAATACTGTAGATATGTACAAGTTTCTTTAATCAAATGACAAATTGAAATTATTTTATTAAGGATCAAAAAAATTATTTTTTTAAATTTGAGTAAAATTTTTAAATTATTGAATATTGAAAAGCTATCCATTAATGAATCCGATGCGATGGCCTATAAGTTGATCAAATGCGCCTAGATCTACATCGAAATTGGTATTTGTCATTCTTGACATAAATATACGGTATTTGCATTTTAAGAATAATTGTGTTTAAATTGAGTTCATCATCCGAGAATAATCATTTTGAAATAATTTGTTATAAAAATTTATATTAGAAAGTGTAACGAAGTAAATCGTCACTTACTCTCCCGAATCTGCAGTAAAAGCTGTTCAGTGAAGATAAGGATTTTTTTAAAATTGAAAAGCATTTTTGTAATAAAGAACAAAGTTTAAAGAAAAATGATCACTACATACCTCTTATGGGTCCAAGGGCTGCATCCTTAGCCAATCCAGTCAAATCACTTCCTGAATATCCTTCCGTTAAAACCGCCATACGATTCAGTTCTTCATGAGAAAGTGGATCGTTGTGCTTTCCCAAAAGTCTCTGTAAAAGGATAACCCTAGTTTTCAAGTCTGGCAGCATTACATAAACACGTTTTGTGAATCTTCTCAAAGCCGCCTCATCTAGTTCCTGCGGTCTATTGGTCGCGGCCATAACAAGGACTCTCTCCTCTGGATTGCAAGGAAGACCATCAAACTCCACAAGAAATTCCGTCTTTAACCGTCTATAAACAAAGAGATTTTTTCGCAAATAAATAAAAGTTTATTAATTATATTTTTAAACATTATTAATCATTCTTAAACTTTTTATTTACTTTTCAATGTATTTGAATAAATTTTAATAGTTAATCCAATTTAATAGTTATTTTTCGAGAAATTTATGGATAAATAGAAGATAAATAGAATATTACATAGGAAAGTTTTAAACCGAAGAATTTAATTAGAATCTTATAGATATCATCAATGTACCTGGAAGCTTCGTGTTCATTATCTCTGCGTTCACTCAATAGAGAATCAACCTCGTCGATAAAAATGACAGATGGCTGCAGTTCTCTCGCTATCGCGAACAAAGCTCGCACCAATTTTTCGCCTTCTCCGACGTATTTCGAAGTAAGACTTGCTGCCGATATAGAAAAAAATGTGGCATTGCATTGAGTCGCAACTGCTCGTGCCAAAAGTGTTTTTCCGTTTCCTGGGGGTCCAAACAGCAAGAGTCCTCGAGATGGAGTTCGCAGGCCTGTAAATAATTCGGGTCGCAGTGAAGGTAAGATAACCATCTCCTGAAGAGCTTGCTTCGCTGTCTGTGAAATCAGAAAAAATAAAGTTTCACTAACATTTATGGAAAATTTTTAAATATTACTCTATCTTTACGTTTTTAATCCTTGTTTTTTAATATCTACAAATAGGATTAATTTTTAAAATATTATCTATATTTTCTACTTGACCTAAAATTATTTAAAATTGAAACTGCTAGATCAAAACCTTAAAGTTAGTTAAACCAGAAGTAACTATCAAGTTTTTCTATACCGCGATCCTACTTCTGATTAACATTCAAGATTTAAAAAAAATACAGGGAAAGAATATTCTCTTGTCCGAAACCTAAAAATCATTTCGTAATGATTGTACAATTATTTTCAGGCATCACAGTACACCTTTTTTCCTCAAAAAAGATGAAAAGGGGAATTTTTTTCCTCAAAAAGGGGATAAAAATTTACTTGTTTATACAACTTGCATATATATAATTTCCTTGATTTTTCCTTGATTTCAAGACAAAATTTTGACTTTTTCCCTAAAGAATATTCTGCAATTCAGTCTAAAAATTATTAGATACTCAAAAAAATGTTCTATTACATTTATTTACAAATTTCTTTAACTGTAAAATTATTCAAAAACAACAATAACTGCTTTTTAAAAAAAAAATATTTAATCATTATTATTTTTCCATAGGAATTAAGATTTTCAAAACATTCAAATTCAAATTTTTTTGAAATTCAACAATTTATGAGAATATTATTATAAAACTCGGAGTGATCACTTTCTTCGTGTTTTAAAATCATTAAAGATAACCGAGTGATAAGATAATTATTTTTTTCTATAAAAAATATTTTTACTGTAACTTCTTCAAAATTATACTCATCATTTCAAATCAATCAATATTTTCTAAATTTTTTAACTAAACTTTTTCTTTAAATCAATTATTTACAATAATTTTTTTTTAAATTCTGAGAATTTTCAAATGTATTTGTTTACAAATCAATTTTACGAAATTTTATCAATTATTCAGAAATTCTTCAATTAAATATATATTTGAAAATAAAAACTTGGAATAATTTCAATTAAACTTTTTGAAAAACAATAATTCTACAGAATTGTTAGTTAAAAATATGAAAAATTCAGATTTTCAAAGATTTCAATTTGAAACTTTTTCAAAATTCAATTATTTCTAAAAATTCACGTTACAATGCTTTTAATATTCAATTATAATCGAAAATTTTAACTGAAATCCATTTTTAAGTTAATTTTTATTAGAAAATTCTACTAGAATTCAATTATTTAAATAAAAAAATAAAGGATTTATATTGAATAATTAAATGTTTCTTAATATTGAATTCTCATAAAAAATTTTGTCAACAAATTTTTAATAAATTAAATTCTTTTGACGAATTTTAATAAAATTTTTAAAAAAAATTACATTTTTCGTGGCATTTGATTAAAATTATACTAAAAATAATTGAAATTCTGCGATGAGTTTGATTATTTATGAAAATAATGGAATTATTGCGAAGAAATTTATAAAAAATTTGTAAATAATAGAATTCTTGTGAAATTTTTGTTTTTATTTATGAAAATAATTAAACGTTTGCATAGAATTTTATTAAAATTTTTCTTAAATAATTGAATTCTTGTGGAAAATTTTATTAAAATCGTAGATATTGAATATCATTGAATTTAGGAAAATTTTTGCAAATAATTGAAATTTTGCCAAGAATTTTATTAAAATTTTTGAAAATAATTCGATTTCTGCGAAGAATTTTATTATTTTTTAAAATAATTGAATTTTTGCAACTATATGAAACTTCTCCAAAATTCAAATTTTTGTTTTTGTGTTTTTAACTAAAACTAGCAACAAATCGCGCGCGGCTAATGTCTTACTACCTTTTTTAAATAAAATTATCAATTTTAAATATAATAAAATTTGAAAATTTTCTAATTTAAATTTTTGTTGAAAATACTAAAAAAAGTTCAATTTTGTAGAATTTAAAAATAATTGCAAAAATTCTTTTTTAAAAAAAATAAAATTCTCCTTATTAAATTCAACTATGTTCAAATCTTGAAAAAAATTTTCATAAAAATCCCAATTATCTTTATAAATAACAAAATTCTTCTTCAAAGTTCAATTATTTTCAGAAATTTTTCTAATTTTAATGATTTTCAATATCTACGATTTTAATAAAATATTTCCCAGAACGAATTCAATTATTTAAAAAAAAATTTTAATTTTAAATTTTAGAAAATGACTATTTTGAATGAATGAATTAAAATAAAAATTTAAGAGGAATTCTATTATTTACAAATTTTTTATAAATTTCTTCGGAATTATTCAATTATTTTCATGAAGAATAACATTTTTTTAACCAGGAATTCAATTATTTTCATAAATAATAATAAATAATAATATCAAAATTCAATTATTTTTAATATCTCCTATTTCAATAAAAATTCACAAAAGAATTCAATTATTTAAAAAGAAATATAATATTAATAAAATTCATCGCAAAAATTAAAGTATTTTTCATAAATAATAAAGTTCTTCTCAGGTATTCAATTATTTTTAATACAATTATTAAAAAATTCGATTGTATTTAATAAATTAAAGAAATTTTTCAAAAAAATTCAATTATTTTCCAAAAATTTTAAATAAAATTCAAGAATTAAATGCTTAATTTCAATTATTAAAAAAGAGGATTATTATAAAAACTTGAAAGAAATTATTCATATAGAATTCAATTACTTTGAAAACTTGGAATTAAAATGATTAAAGAAAGTCCATTATTTTAAAGAAACTCAAAGAAATTCTTCAAACGAATTTAATTAAGATTATGTAAAATTTTAATAAAATTCTTCCTAAATTCAATTATTCTCATAAACAATAAAATTCTTCGAAGAAATTCAATTAGTATCAAATTTTTTGATAAAATTCTTTGCAAGAATTCAATGATTTGCAATTTTTTTCTCAATAATTTACTTGTTTTCATAAACAATAAAATTCTTCGAAGAAATTCAATTATTATCAAATTTTTTGATAAAATTCTTTGCAAGAATTCAAAATTTATAAAACATTTGCAAATGATTGATCATTTGCAAATGTTTTATAAATTTTTTCGCAATAATTCAATTATTTCACAAAAAAATTAATAAAAGTTTTTCATAAGAATTCAATTATTTTTGAAAATTTTAATAAAATTCGTTGCAAAAATAAAATTTTTCGAAACAATTCAATTATTTTAAAAAACTTTGAAAAAATTTCAATTATTTTCAAAAATTTTCCTCAATTCAATGATTTTTATAATATCTACTGAAATTTTTCAAAAGAATTTAATTATAAAAAATTTTATTGAAATTCTGCGCAAACATTTAATTATATTTATAAAATAATTAAAATTTCACACGGAATTCAATTATTTTCATAAATAATAAAATTTTTTTAGGAATTCAATTATTATTTTCATAAAAAATAATTTAAAATTCTAGAAAAGAATAATTTAATTAAAATGATGAAAATAATGTTGATGAAATTACAGTAACAATATTCTTATAATGTAAAATAATGATTTTATCTCTCGGTCATCTTTAACAACACTTTTATAAGTTGTTTAATTTAAAAAAGGTTTGAATTTTGAATTTTTGAATGTCTTAATTCCTGTGGAAAATCCTGTTCCAAAGATAAGATTAAAATATAAATTGTGCAAATATTTTTCTTCTTTTTCTAAAACAAAATAATAATTTTCTTAAAAAAATTGTTATTGAAAAAGAAAATAATGGAAAATAAATAAATTTTCTATTTCTTGATCACAGTTGTTTAATAATTTTCTAATTTTTTTAGAAGTAAAGAACAAAAACTATTTCAATTTGACAAAACGTAATATTTAACAAAATTTTAGTCTTTTAATGAAAAGAAGTAAAAAAAATTCTGATGATTTCTATTTTCTATCTAAAGTTGACAAAAAACAAAAGTATAAACAAAAGACAACTTCAGAAAAAGTGAATGAAAGAATGAAAGAACATTCAAATTAATATAGTTAATTAATTAATTAATTAATTAATTAATTCCTCGATAAATTTATTATTTTTAATAATTAATTATAAATATATATATTAAAAAATTTAACTAATTTTAGAATTATTTAAATTTTGAAAATTTTTGCAAAAATGTAAGATCTTTAGAATTTCTAATGAAATTCATTCAAAATTGAAATTTTATAAAATTTTGAAGTTAAAATCTTTTCAAGTTCATCTATTTATGAAAATTGTAAACGAAACTATTTTAAAGTTGAATTAATTTTGAAATGTATAAATAAAATTTTATTTATTATTCATTAAATAATTTCTAAGTTATAATTTTATGATAGTTCTTCAAGAATTAAGTTATGAAATTATTGTCAAAAATGGAAAAAATTGAAGGTTTTATATTAGAATTTTTGTTTTTTCTAGAAAAAACTATTAATAATAATATTTGAATTATTTGAATGTTAATTAATTATTTTTCTAGAGGTTTGCATTGTGTTGAATGAACCACCTTATAATTTATAAAATTCTTTATACGACATCTATATTATTTAAATTATTAACATAAAAAACATATTTATATTATGTTGTGGTGTTAATAATCTAAATCAGATATAAAACGCACTGAATTCTATAACTTTGAGTCTAAATTTTATGCGATTACACTTTGAAAAAAATTTCAAAAAAAGAAAAACTTGTTTATTTTTGATTGGAAAAAGGTGAAAAAGGGGATACAATTGATATAAGGGGACAAAAGGGGAAAAGGGGACCAACTGTGGTGCCTGAATTATTTTAAATTTCTCTTTTTCATTAACCTCTTGTCCAACGATATCATCCCATTGCACGGCAGTTCCACCTTCCAAAATTTCATCCAATATAACATTGGCGAGTTTGGGATCGACTCCCTTTAAATTTGGAAGCTTTCTCGTTGGAGTTCCTCGATTGCTGCTGGTTGCACCGGGAGTTCCCGGTCTTCTAATTGGCGAGCCATTGCCAGGAACAGACAATTGCCTCTTAACAGCGGGAGGTGTTGATGATGGTTTTATAGGAACATTTCTGTGACAAGGTAAAGAAGGCGTCGATCTTCCCATACTTCGCGGTAAAGTTTGACTCTTACTCATTACAGCACCAGAAATTCGTTTTCCAGGAATCGTCAATTTTCTCCCTGACGCTGGAAAGAGAAAGACAATTATACATCAATGTCACTTGGTTGCTTTTTCACTCATTCTTTTCTTTTGCAATCCCTTAAAAAAATTCAACTATTTTTAAGCTATAATCTAAATTCCTTTCACAAATTTAACATTTTCTTACGGAAGCAGTGTTTTCAAATTTGTTCATTATCATTGTCAGCGTTTACAACAAATTTTTTAAGGTGCTTCGTAAAAAACTTTGCAGCTTGAACACGAAACAGCAACTTGCATGAAAATTTTTTGCTAAATAAAAATGATTATAAGTCAGAATTCCATTAAATGTAATCGATAAAGAATTTGGATCTATCGAAATTCTGAAACAAAAATTCTAATAAACTATTTATTTACACTCGTTAGTTTTATTTAACAAAAAATTCTGAACAGATCTATTATATGCAAAGTTTTGTCAATTAGTAATTCAGTAAAATAAACATTTAGGCATGTCTAAATTGAAATTCGCCCGAAGAAATAATAATCATAGGATGATTCTAATTCACCATTAGTAATTCTATTTACTTTTCTTGTATCTATCTCTTTATTAATACACAAATATTATTCGCAGCGAACAAAAATTTAAAAAAAAAAACAGCGATCATGCATATGTAAGAAGAAAATGCGGTGCATTGTGAGAAAACGAAAGAGGAAAAAATTAAAAGATAATAGATAAATAAACGAGAATAAAAATACCTTCGGCCATGCGAGAATGAGAATTTTTCGGAGATCGAGGCCTCTGTGGTGGCTTTGGTATTTGTGTATTATTATATTGTCCAGTGTTTAATGTTAGTGACTGTGTGTGAATGTGATTTGTATTTTTTGTTTGTTTTAATTTATTGTGATTTAATTGTAAATTGCGTCTTTTCCTCAAATGATTTCCAGGACGTTCCTCAGAAACGTCTTCACTCTCATGGTCTGATCCTTGATTCTGGCTGGCAATCTCCATCTTTTTCAGCTCGCAAACACTCACTACAAAATAAAAAGAAAAAAAAGAGAAAAACATTCCCCGCCATGCTGCGCAACACGACTACAACAACAACAACAACGCAATTAACGTACGTTAATGACATTTAATTTATTTACTAAACAAGAATTAAAGGTAGTTCACATCTATAAAAAACACCATGGTAAATTAAAAGAATTAAATTAATAAGCTGATTCGAAAACAAAATAACAAAAAAAGTAAATAATATTAACTAAATGAGAAAAGAAACATAAATGTACAATGTATGGGGGAAAAATGGTGAAGGGTTCCCATTTGAAAATAAAATTATTTCAGAATTTTGTAAATAGTTAAATAAATATTGTAGTCCCTACATTTGAACATAATGTGGCTCTAAATTTTCACATCTTTTACATTTTGTGTTAATATAAACTATCTAAAGATAATGTGAATTTTATTATTGGGTTTTCAAAAGATTTTAATGTAAAAATTTTTAAAGTAATTTTTTAGTGTAAAATCGAATTAGTAGGTATAATTTTGAAAATTAATTTATGAAGTTTTTTTTAAACCAAATCTGTAAGTAACAAAACTTTGCAACCTAATGACGCATTGATATAAATATTTTATTATTAAACATTTGACATTTATGTCTAAATTTAAAAATATGTATGTTTCACGTAAGCACACGTGTTATTGAAATATTGAACCGGTAGAAGAATGAGTACAAGAGGCCGAAGGTTGTATTTGTCTCACAAATAAACTTATCCAAGTGCTTCTCACCGTTTGAAATAAAACTTGGTATATGTATACTTCAATGGTTATCTTTTTAACTCATAAATTCTAACAGAAAACATATCGAGTCAAATGATGGTTAAATAATTTTATGTAAAAAATTTTTAAAAAACACTAAACATTTTTTTCGTCTTTTTATTCCGAGTTCAGAAAGAAATTATTATTATTATATCATGATATACATTATTTACACTGCCCTGCATGGGTTTAGTAAATAAAACGCGACGTTAGTGTAGGTGCAGGTGAGAAAACTCGCAGCAGAAATATGACATCTCTCAAACCATTAGTTTTCTGTAACGGTTACATTGTGCTCCGAACCTGACTTTTTGCAGACGAAAATCCCGTCATTTTTACGAATTGTCATTTATGCGAACTGACAATTCCAGGCCTCGGATCGACTTTAACGAGAAAAAAAAGTCGCTTTAGTCGATTAAAATTTAATTTAGTGTTGTCACAAATATTTTATTTTCTAATTCCCTGATTCTTCTCACTGATTTCTAAATTCAATTAATCAAAACTTGTATATAATTTTGCTAAATAAAATATTTAAATACTTCTTATTTCTTTTTTTACCAGGAAATAAAATTTAAAAAATTTCAATTATTTCTGAAATTTAATAATTTCTAAAAATTAAAACTATAACCCTTACAAGAATTCAATTATTTTCTACAATTTTTAACTAAACTTCATCTCTAAATCAATTATCTATATTACTTTTTAATATTTTTCCGAAAGTTCTTCAAGAATTCAATTATTTAAATACAAAAATTCAATTTTTATAATAATTGAAACCGTTCATTTTTCTTTTTAAAGATATTAAGGTAGAATATATTGAAAAAATTTTAATAAATAAATTCGTAAAATTAATTTTTTTTAAATATTTCTAAATAATTTTTGAAAGACGCAATAGTTTTACAATTACATAACAATTAAAAAATTTTTTTTAAAAATTGAAATTTGGTAAAATCTTTTTAAAAAATAATTTAAATTTAGTAAAATCTTTGAAAAATAGGTAATTAAAATTTGCAATGAATTTTAATTAAATTCCTTAAAATAATTAAATTTTGCAAAGAGTTTTATTAAAATTATAGATGAATTAAAATTTTAATAAAACTCCAGAAAAAATTTAATTTTGCAAAGAGTTTTATTAAAATTCATGAAAATAATTGAATTTTTCAATAAATTTTTTTAAAAATTCCTGAAAATTGAATTTGGACAAAAATTTTATTTAAATTTCTGAAAATAATTGAATTTTGCAAAGAGTTTTATTAAAATTATAGATGAATTAGAATTTTAATAAAATTCCAGAAAAAAAATTGAATTTTGCAATAAATTTTTTTAGCAATTCCCAAAAAACTGGAATTTAGACATAAATTTTATTAAAATTCATGATAATAATTGAATTTTACAACTAGTTTTAATAAAATTCCCTAAAAAAATTAAATTTTGCAAAAAAATTTATTAAGTACATAAAGAATTGAGTTTTTAAAAAATATTAAATAAATAATCAAATTTTTGATGAATTTTAATTATAAATAATTTCTCAAAAATTCTAAAATAGTAAATTTAAAAAAATTTTAAATTACTTTGTCAGAGAATTACTTTTTTCAAAACTATTTTAATATTTTCATTATTTATCGAATTTACACTTGAAGATTATTCATTAAAATTTAAAAAAATTAATTTATTTCCAAAATTTTCAATAAAAATTGTGTAATAGTTAATTTTTAAAAATTATAATAAAATACTTGAAAAGAAGGATTTATTTTCAATTAATTTTACTAAATTTCAATTATTCAAAATCTTTTTAATTTTATGTTTCAAAAATTTAATTAGAAAAAATTTTCAAAAATAATTTTTGAAAGATTTATCTACAGCTATTTTTTATACTGCGCGTAAAAATCGAAAAAAGTTTCAGTTTATACTAAAAATATGGTATTTTGTCGCAAAATTTGGAAGAAAAGACGAAAAAGTCGCAATTTTTTAATATAAGTCGATAAAAGTCGCATTACTTGAAAATAGTCGAAAAAAGTCGAAAAAATCATAATATCCGAGGCCTGCAATTCGCAAAAATGAATTTTTGCAAAATTTTGCAAAAATTTAAATTAAATAAAATTTTTTTATTTAATTTTTTTTTATTTTTATTAAATAAAATTTAATTTTACAAAAATGCAATTCGAAAAAATAACAATTCGAAAAAATGTGTCAGTTCGCATAAATGACAATTCGGAAGTGCCTAAAGTAATCTGATAATTTTTGTTTTAAGATTTTTTATGTTTAACCTTTTTTAAAAAAAGATACCTAGATTTTAAAATAACTCTTAATTACACATATTGTTGATATAGTCTTTATAAATTTCGTTTTTACAATTTTATTATCATTTGAAATAATAAAAAACATGTAAATAATTTTATTTAAAAATTTATGAGTCTGAAGTAAAAGTTGGTTTAAAAATGTGCTTTAGAAATGACAGACAGAAAACAGATATAATCAAGCAAAAAAATATAAATTATAAGTAATAAGCAAAAAGGTTATTCGGAATATTTTCGCCGCTTGAAGAAAATGTCATTTAAATATCAAACTGATTCTTTAGAATGACAGATTTAATGTGATCAATTACAGTCACCTTATTAAAAATTCAATTGTTCAATGGATATTCTAAAATAACTTTCCGACTCTATTATATGTAAATCTTTTCGTTTTCGAGGTCAAATAATAATATTCATGAAAGTGCGAGAATCGTGAACATTGGAAATGAAGTTTTATTAATTTCAAGTGAAATGATTTTTGGCTTATATACATGCTCAGCACAAAAAACATTACGATCGGCTATTTCAAAAACAAACATTTAACAACAGAATTTGCAATTAATGTTCAAAAATCTGAAATCTTTTTTGTTTAAAAAAAATTATTTTTATCAATAGAGTACTTTGTTAAAAATCAAAACACCCAAAAAAAAGTAATTTCATATTGAGAGAAAAAATCCTTTCAATTTATCCTCCAAAATAAAAGTATTCCACTTTTATGTAGAATATTTTTATTCCATGATGGTTAATGATAAAAAAAAAATTTTTTTATTCCATGATGGTTTATAAAAAAAAATTTTTAAGGTTCTGATGTCGAAAACATTGAATTAAGTATTTGAAGAATTTGAAATTTCTTTTTCAATTAGTAAATGAAAATTACTTTTTTTAGGGTGTATGACATAAATAACAGTACAAAAATAATTGAAAATAATTTTTAAAATGTTTTCATATTTACAAACTTTTAATTCAAAACCCTGAATAAATATGTAAAATTGTTTTTAAATTTTGCTTTCTTTACATTATAATAAAAAATTATTTAGTAGAAAACTAAAATACAATTAATTTTAACATCAATTTTGAAAAAAACAAAAATCAAAAGCTTGAAACAAAAAAATGTTTTCAATATAATTTTTTTTTTTAAAGAATAAAATAATTTAAAATAAAAAAAATTAAGTTTGGTTAAATACCTAACTAATTTTTGAAATTAATATTTACATTCTCTTTCTGATTTCAGATAATTGCAGAGCGAAATTTCATGTACTTTTCTACGATTTCCAAAAAAGGCCTCAACGAATTGTTTCGAAACATTATGTGAAGGAGAGAAAATGGAACTTTAAAGAATCGATAAGGAATTTAGGTTTCGGTAATTAAAAGTCAATGGTTTGGAAATCGAAGAAAACTTGTTTTTCAATAAGGAATATAAGCAATTTACCTAGAAAATCGAGTCTGTCCTTGGCCATTGCCAAATTGGTTCGCATTTTTTCATGAAGTCTCTGTGCACGTTCCCAAACTTCCCCTCGGCCACCGTAACATTCGACAGCAATTCCCTTTTCCAATTCTCCAATTCCTTTCTTATAAAGTTCAATGGCCATTTCCTTGTGACCTGCAAAAAATACAGAAAAAAATAAAATTTAATTGTTTTCCTTTTTTATATACCTAACAATCGAATTATTCGAATTAGAGAAAGAAAATTAGTGAAGTAGTTTTCCTTGACTGATATTTATTGACAATCGTAGGTGAATTCTCGGAAAGTAATAAATATTGATTTTTCTATATCGGTGCATCTTCGTTAAATCATCACTTTTACTTCCCCAACTTGATAAGTTTAAAAATTATTTTCTAATCTACTTAAAACTTCGTACAGATATTCTTCAATAATTTGTTGAACATAAAAAATTAGCTTTGAAATTCAATATGTTTTACTTTATTTTTATTTTTTGAAAATTTTTATTAATAAATTTAGTTGAAATCGTTAAACGTTTTTTTGTAAAAAATAACAAAATGACTTCAATTTTTTATAATAATTGAAACTGTCCATTTTTTTTAAAGATATTAAAGTAGAATATTATCAAAAATATTAATAAAGAAATTCTTAAAATTAATTTTTTTTAAATATTTTAAAATAATTTTTGAAAGACAATTTATGTATATAGGTACAATTAAATACAATTAAATACATGTCAAAAAATATTGAAATTTGTTAAAATCTTTAAAAAAATAATTGTTTGGTGAAATCTTTGAAAAATAATTGAAACTTGATAAAACCTTTAAAAAATAATTGAAATTTGATAAAATCTTTGAAAAATAATTAAGTTTTTAAAAAATATTTTTAAAAAAATCAAATTTTGGAAGAATTTTAATTATAAACGATTTCTCTGAAATTTTAATAAATCCAAAAAAAGTAAACTTTAAAAAATTTTAATATAATTTGTTCGAAGGTAATTGAACCTTAAAAAATTGTGATAAAACAATTCTAAGAATTAGTTTTTTATAAATATTGTAATGTAATTTTTTTAAAATAATTGAATTTATAAAAAAAAAGTTTTGTATAATTTAAAAAAAAAATTTTAATAATTTTTTTGAAGAATTTTAATTAAAAATTTTGATTATTTTCTCCAAAATGTTAAAAATAATTCTAAAAAATTTTAATGTTATTATTTTTTGTTATGTATTTGCATTTTTGGAAATATGTATTCGAAAATATTGAAAATAATTATTGAATTTTAAAAATTAGAATGAAAAAATTCTGAGAATTACTTTTTTCAAAAATATTTTAATATAATTTTTAGAAATTAATTTTCATTAATTTTCATATTTATTAAATTTACACTTGAAGATTTTTTATTTAAATTTTTCAGAATTAAATTATTTTCAAAATTTTGCAAATTGAAATTCTTCAAAAGTTGATTTTTTTTTAAATTTATAATAAAATACTTAAAAAAATCAATTATTTTCAATTAAATTTTACAAAATTTCAATTATTCTGAAGCTTTTCAATTGTATATTTCAAAAATTTAATTAGAAAAATTATTTAAAAATAATTTAATTTGTGAGATTTGTCTATTATACTTTTCACACTAATAAAAACCGAAGTAAGTTGCAGTTCATACTATAAATGTGGTAATTTGTCGAAAAATTTGTAAGAAAAAGTCGCAATTTTTTAATATAAGTCGATAAAAGTCGCATTATTTGAAAATAGTCGAAAAAAGTCGAAAAAGTCATAATATCCAAGGCCTGCGAAAGTTTTAATGAAAAATCTTCAAACAAAAATTTGAAAATGAAAAATTTATCGAAAATTATCTTTAAACAATTAATTTATTACTGAAAAACATTATCGTCAAATTGAACAACTCAAAAGAATATTATTATAAAACATAAAGATGAGCGACTGACAAAATAATTATTTTATTATTATAAGAATATTGTTACTGTAATTTTTTCAAAATTATTAGTATCATTTCAATTCAATTAACATTTTCTTGAATTTTTAACTAAAATTCTACTTTAAATCAATAACATCAATTATTATTATTCAATTAAACTTTTTCGAAAAAATTAATTCTACAGAATTGTTAGTTAAAAGTACGAAAAATAATAATTTAATTCTACGAGAAATCAATTATTTAAATACAAAAATAAATAATATTGAATGTTTCTTAGAATTTCATTTTTAGGAAGAATTGTATTAACAACTTTTAAAAATATTTCAGTTTTTTTAAGGAACTTAATTAAACTTTTAATGAAATTTATTATATTAAAAAATTTTATAACAATTTTTGAAAATAATTGAAAACTTTTTGAAGAATTTTATTAAATTTTTTTAAAATAATTGAATTCTTGAGAAGAATTTAAATAATAATTTTTTAAAACAATTAATTTCATGATAAGAATTTTATTAAAATTTTTGAAAATAATTGACTTCTTGAAAAGAATTTTTAAAAAAATTTTAAAATAATTTAATTTCTGTAAAGTATTTTATTACTTTTCAAAAGAATTGAATTCTTGTAATATATTTTGATATTTATCAAAATAATTGAATTTTGAAAGAGAATGTTATTAAAATTCCTTAGAATAATTGATTTTATGGGAAGAATTTATGCGATTTTGTTGTTTATCAAGCTAATTGAATTCTTTTGCAAAATTACTTAAAAATTTTTGAAAATAATTGATTTTCTGCGACGAAATAAATGTTATTTATGAAAATATTTGAATTATTGCAACGAATTTTATTGTTTTATTGAATAATTGAATGTTTCTTAAAATTGAATTCTTTCCTCAAGTTTTAATAACATTTTTAATAATAGTTGCATTTTTCAAAAAATTTATATAAAATTGTATTAAAAATATTTGAAATTCTGCGATGAAAATAATTGAATTCGTAAATGAAATTTTATTATTTATGAAAATAATTGAATCTTTTAGTAGTATTGTATAAAAAAATTTTTTCTATAATTGAATTTGTTGATTTATGAAAATAGTAAATATCGAAAATTATTGAATTGCAAAAAACTTTTGAAAGTAATTGAACTTTTGCAAAGATGTTTATAAATTTTTGAAAAAATAATTGAATATTTGGCGAAAAATTTTGCTATTTGTAAAGATAATTGAATTCTTGACGAGATATTCGTGAAAATTTTTTTAAATAATTGAATTTCTTCGAAGAATTTTATTACTTTTGAAAATAATTGAATTCTTGGAATGAATATTGTAATTTATAAAAATAATTGAATTTTGTAAAGAATTTTGTTATTTATCAAGATAATTTCATTAAATCTTTTGTAATAATTAAATAATATTAAAAAAAACAACCAACTTCTAAACATAATTGAGACTTGACTTCACCAAAATACTAATCTTACAAATTTTATAAATTTCGTGAAAAATTTCATCGATCATAAGTTTCAAGATTTGAAACTTTCAAAACAAAAGTTTCCAATTGAAAGTTTCAACGGCACTCTACTAAATTTGGTGTAAATTCATCATTAAAAGATAAAAGAAAAAAATAGGGGAAATTTTCAAAATAGTGTTCGTTTAGGGGCCAAAACTAAAAAAAGAGGACTTTAGGGAAATAGGGAACAGACTGTGAAACCTGAAAATAGTTTGCCCGGAAAACTATCTCCTTGAATAAAAGGCACCTTTTGAAAGACGCCACCTACAATTGTAAAAATTAACTAAAAATATTCAAAAAATTTTTTTTTCAATTCTCTTCTTGTAATATGTAATAACATCCAAAAGGATGCAATAACTATAATACATTTTTTACGACAAGAGTTTGAAAAAGTGTGTTTTTTACCAATTCTTTCTTTTATTCAATCTTTATGATTTTTTTATTTGTTTATTTATTTATATTTAAAAATGTTTTTTTTCCATTTCAACAAAAGAAAGAAAGAAAATATGATTTTTTCAATTTGAAGAAATCAATGAATAATTATCGACATATCGATAGAAAAAAAATTCAATGGTTTTCCACCAACACTATTTCATAATTAAATAATTATTTTACTTAAAAACAATATTTTATATTATATGTAAGTGACATGTAATTTTTTTTATCAAAATTGGTACGAATCTGAAAAATAGAAAATTACACAAAAGTTAATGAATTATAATTTTTAGGTAAAATGCTAAATTCCACGTTGATTTCTTTTAGTGTTTCAAAAAATTTATAGAAAACCTAAAATAATTGAAAATTAAATTTATTAAAAATTTTGATAAATAGATATTGATATAAGTAAGTCTTGAAATTTCTCGAATTTTTTTTTACTATTTTTTATGGTAATTTTTCCTCTTATCTTTTTCTTGGTGATACTAGGTATTTAATAAGTATTTTGAAAAAGAAACCCAAAGTTTTTTGTTTAAAAGCAATTTTTGTTTACGAAATTAATTTCAATTAATAATATTTTACATATAAATTGTAAAAGAAAATTTTTCTCATTTCGAATTTAAATGATTTATTTTTATCTACTAAAATGTTATTAATTGAAGGAGAATGAAAAAAAAATTACCTTCATTTTCCTCGTCAATTTTAAGAGCTTTGCTAATAAACTCAAAGGCCCGTCGATGATGATGTTTTTGTTTGGCGAGAAGAGGATCACCGGGTCCTGGACCCGTTCTCTTGACAATTTGTGACATCCCCTCGTCCTCTCTTGTTGAAACTTGAAGTAAATTTTCCGCCGTCTCACGATCAACGACAATTTCCAATTGACAGGTATTTTTCGTCACTTGTCTACGTCGAATAAGATACGACGTCGAGGCATATAAATATTTAAAAACAACAAATAACTGATAAATTAGGGAGCGAAGAATATTGAAAAGAAAAATTAACGGAAACGAAACAACATAGAGATTTCTTTTATGTATCGAGGGTGGATTTTGACTGCCTTCACCAAAACGATTACTATAACTTATCGTTGTTGTTGTTGTTCTGTCACTATTTTCAGCTTTTGTTACGCGCAATTTTTTCGGTGATCTACTACTTGATTTTCGTATCGAACGTCCCCCGCCATCACTGTAAGACATTTCCCGAAACAATTTGACACAACACCCAAACAACCCGAAGCAAGAAACCGCTCTGACATACCCGTGTCGTCGAGGCGAAAAATTTCAAAACACAAGTCTAAAATGATTCTCCCATGATTTTCATCATTGTAACGGTGAACCTAACCTCAAAAACAAACGGTTTGCATTGCACAACACTTATTATTGACACGATGTTTCTTTATTCAAAATAGATTGCAAAGACTAATTAAACAGTACCCTCTTTTTTTCTACATGTATTAGCACTACAACTTTGTTCACTTGTGAACGTGTCTATTAACTTTATACGCAGAAGCACTGCGACTTCTTGTTGGATATTCTCACATACATTTCCCATTGGGAATCGCGCGCTCATTCTTAGGAAAAAAGTATTTTATTTCCATTCTAAATAAACTCGCACTTTACGAACACTAACGTTAATTAATTTACAAAACTCGAAAATATAATGTTTTTAATTTCGACAGTTAGAAAACACATTCGACAATATTTTACTATAGCCAAACAAAAGTGCGGCGCTGTTTACACTTTACAATTATTGTCGAGAAGGTGAGAAAGCCTTACAAAAGATTAGATTAGGGATGTTTTTTATTTACTCAAAAAAAAAATTACTCGGAACAAAGATCATCGGAGAATTTATTCTTTTCGGCTCGGAGTAAATTTGGTAAATAATACAAGTTTAAAATATTAATAAACTTTTGTACATACCTAAAAACACAAGTTCATTGGTCACATAAATTTTAAAATTTGTATATTGAATTCTCACTTTAAGTAAATAAATAAAATTAACAATTGATATACAAAATAAAATTATTGTTGTTTTTGATTTGAATTGCCTTCAAAAGAATTTTAAATATCAGTAGGAATTTAAATTTTAAATGCTACGAATTTTATGACCCAATAGAAATTAAATTGAAGTTGAGTGGGGGAAAGTACATAAAGGTCAACGCACAACTGCTTTGTGAAAGTCGTTCGCGAACGCAAAGCATGAGTTGGAAAATGACAGAGACATATATTTATGTCCTTTTCTATTTCATATTCATTCATGAATGTGAGAGAGATGGAGATATATATTGGATATATTTGCACTCATGGCCGCACAGTGTGTTATTTTTGCATTTTCGCGTTCAAAAGCTAATTTCTCTTGAAGGAATTGACCGAAAACCGAAATGAATGAACCTTGGACGAAAATAAAGCTAAATAAATATAGAATAGAGGAAAATTATAGAGAATCCTTGATCTAATTTTTTGAGCTCCTGGGAGTTGAGTGAAGTTAGCATTTTTTATGAAAAGTGACAAATTAGAGTATAAAAAACTGTAAATCATGATAAAACTTAATAAAACAACTTTTTTGTAATCATTCAGGATCACTGAATACAAAAATAAAGTTGGTGTTTCGAAATTCAAAATGGCGGATGAAATTTTCAAAATTTAAAAAAACTTCTAATTTATCCAAATTGTGGTATTTTAATGTTTTCGATGTCGCTGAATCAAAATATGATGGTAAACTTAAAAAATTCAAAATGGCGGACCCAATATGGCGGACAAAATTTTTTGAAAATGCTTCGGTTTCAATAAGACTTGGTACTTTTACATTTTCGAGGTCGCTGAATCCAAATATGATGGTAAAATTCAAAATGGAGCATCAAATTTGAATTTTGCATTAGAAAAACAAAAAATATTGAGTAATTTTGAAATCAAAGCACTTTTAACAATTTTTGCCCGCCATATTGGGTCCGTCATTTTGAATTTTTTAATTTTACCATCATATTTGGATTCAGCGACCTCGAAAATGTAAAAGTACCAAGTTTTTTTGAAATCGAAGCATTTTCAAAAAATTTTGTCCGCCATATTGGGTCTGCCATTTTGAATTTTTAAATTTTACCATCATATTTCGATTCAGCGACCTCTAAAACATTAAAATACCACAATTTGGATAAATTAGAAGTTTTTTTTAAATTTTGAAAATTTCATCCGTCATTTTGAATTTCGGAACACCAACTTTATTTTTGTATTCAGTGATCCTGAATGATTACAAAAAAGTTGTTTTATTAAGTTTTATCATGATTTACAGGTTTTTATACTCTAATTTGTCATTTTTTCATAAAAAATGCTAACTTCACTCAACTCCCAGGAGCTCAAAAAATTAGATCAAGGATTCTCTATAATTTTCCTCTATTCTACATATTTATTTAGCTTTATTTTGGTCCAAGGTTTATTCATTTTGGTCAATTCCTTCAAGAGAAATTAGGTTTTGAACGCGAAAATGCAAAAATAACACTGTGTGTGTGGCCTAGTTACAAAACGTAACGCAAAACGTTGCCATGTGATTGCACCTTTAAAGTTTCCGATTTTGCGTTTCCAGCATTGGTTGTTCAATATTGTGTATTGGCCTTACTATTACTTGACCAATGACGTCACGAAAATATTGAAAATTGAGGTCATACCGCCAGAATATTAAAAAATACATCGAACAGATAAGAAATTTTTTTAGAGAACAATATTTTATTTTTAAATCTTAATAGAGACTATTTTTGTTTTAAAAAAAGACATAACTTTAGAGGAAAAATCATTTTTTTGTTTTGAGAGAGAAAAAAATAAAATTTTTTCGGGTCGACAGCTGATAAAGTAGAAAGACCGCTGATTGGCAGAATCAAGTTCAGCCATTTTTTAACAACATTCAGTTTTCTACGCGCTATCACGACGACGTAGGTTTTTTGCTGTTTCGCATCATTCTGAATTTTGAGACATTGTTTTTAGACCGAGATGTCGACCTTGAGCGGAGACGAGGCTGAAATTGTTCAAGAAGATGCAGGTAGGAATTATAAAATAAATCAATTTATTTTCTCCTCACAAGGAATATTTATAATTTAGTTATATCAAAAAGCGGTGATCGTGATCCTGAACAACCGGCACCTCGCCATAGCTCGTAATCGACCCGCCATTAACTATAAGTGGCGTCACACCATTATAAATTTGGTATTTTATTTACAATTTAAATTTTTAAATCACAATTCTCAATGTTTTAGCAGTTTTCATAATATAACCTCAAATTAGAAAATAAAATTTTTTACAATTAGAATTAAAATTTCTTGCACCGAAAAGGTTATGTTCGGTCGGACATTGTGATAACCTGGAAATTTATTTGGAAGAAAATGTAAATATAATTTAATATAGAAAATTCTTTCAAAGTAAAATTTCAGGTTAAACAAATTATTTGTCTTTTAAATGTAAATTTTTTTAGGTGTTATTTAAAGAGTGTTTTGGGGATTAAGAGATTATTGATTTTTTCACCACTGGTAACTATTGTTTGTTCAATAATCAATGTCTAAATTATCTTTTATGACATTTTCATGAAAATCGAATATTATCTTATTTTTGAATTTTTCGTGTTTATTTTTATGGTTTTAGTGCGAAGAACGAGGTCAGGCAGAGCTACAAGAAAAGTTGCTGCAGCAACACCGGTAAAGAAAGTGGTGAAGAAAGTTACACGATCTGCTCGTTCACCAAGAAAAACACAGGAAGTAGAGGAAGATGTAAGGCTGAATTTTAGATTTATTGTTACTTCGTTCTTTTGTTTTTGTTAATTTATTTTTTTTTACTATTTTATTTATTCATTTTACTAAGGGAAATAAAATTATTTACGTTTAATAACTGAGTATAATTACAAATTTTTACAATTTTTTTATTATTCCTTTAGTGCAGATTTTGATATAAACAGAATGAGCGCAGGTCGAAGAATTTTTAAAAATTCTTCCAAAGTCGAAATTTTAATCCAGGATTGCTACAAATAAGGAAAAAATTTGAATTTCTAGAATTGATAAAAATTCTGGTCTTTGGTATCCAAGCAACTATTGAAAATAACAAAAAAACATTAAATTCTTCTTGAATTTTTTTTTCACCTCTATATAAACTTTTTGAGTCATCTCGAATTTCAATACAAATTTTTCTGATAATAATTAAACTTTACAGAATATGAAATTCAATTTATTTGGAGAAAGAAATTTTATACTTGAAAATCAAAGCATAAATTTCAAAAATTTTATCTAGTGTTAAAAATAACAGTATTTTTCAATAATAATAATAATAATTAAAATTTGCGAAAGCTTTAAAAAGCATAATTTAATAACTTGACGTACAATTTTGTACTGGTATTTTTAAATATTTTATTTATAAAAAATTGTCAATTCTGTAAGAATTAGCAAAAAGTAACAATTAGCTTTTTAAAAAGTTTGTCCAGTAAAATTAGTTTTACTTGGAACATTTTTTTAACATTTCAATGTTTTATCTAAATGTAAAGCTACTACAACAATGAATGAAAAAAAAGTTTCAAATTATAAATTCATTTTTAAAATTGAGTATATTTTTTATAAATTTTATTCTGTAAATGAACAAATTTTCCAAATACAAAGCATAAAAAATATTTTTAAGAACATAAGTATAGCATAACTATTGAAGAGTGGCTTGACAAAAGGGGTCAAGCGAGAATTTTATGATTTTACAGGAATAAATCGTCTCAATGAAAAGCAATAAGTTTCCTATCCCTAAATTTATTTAAAATAATTTAATTTTTGAAAAACCCATAAAATTGTTATTTAATGCCCAGGGTGGCCGCTGGACCGGGAAACCGGGAAATGACAGTGAATTTTGATCTTTACCGGGATTTTGGAAATTTTTTTTTAAAAACACATTATTTTGTGCGAAAAAATAGAAATATTTATTTTAAGACTTATTAATTATATTTCATTAAAAAAGATTGAATGATCTTCTACAAAATTTATTTATTTCGTCATGGAATTTTATCAAAAGAACTATAAAAATATTCAATTTCTAGAATTTATAAGAAAATTATGAATTTTGATTGTCCAACTTAACAGACTTAGAAAAAGCAAATATTAAATTTGTCAAAAAAATTTTAAAAAGAAAAAATTTCACATCCTATAAAATAGTGAAAAATAAATCAATTTAAAAATTTTGTTTGCAATAATATTATAACAAAATAAATAAGAATTATTAAAAATTTGAACTAATTAGAACAAAAGTGATACGAAATTTATAAAAATTAATTTTTAAATAATAAATAAAGTAAATAAAAAATAAAAATAAATAAAATTTCTTTTCTTAGAATAGTACATTGTACAACTAGTGGCGAAAGTGTGATTTTTCTCGAGTGATTGCTGCTCTCGCTACGCTCGAGCCGCAAACTTCACTCTCGAAAAATCATTCTTTCACCACGAGTTGTGCACTACGTTTTCTCCAACGCCTTGCGAGGAAAGCTTTCTTCGTGAGTTTCGTATACTTTTAATTTAAAATGTTCTTATGTTTAATATAATAAAAGACGAATGTTTTGAGTGGGGAAGAAGTTAGATACAAAATAAATCTCGGTCAAAGAACAAGAAAAAAGAATAAATTCATGATTTACTTTCGCCACGCCAAATTTACTTTCGCCACGCTGAATTTATCCCAGTAAACGAAAACTAATTGAAATGAATTAAAAAGAATTCACAAAGAGCTTTCGTGAATCCCGCTTTGTGACAAATACGAATTGGAGCCATGATGCAATTTTCCTGAATTCGTGAAACTGTATTGAACTTCCGAACCTTCTATCCGTTCCAATTCACTGGACAAGTTTTGAGCCTTTAATTTTTTTCAATTCGTTAGCACGAATTCAATGCATTCCTTGGCCATTTCTTTCGAATGCGAATTCGTTTGGACAAATTGGTACATATTGAATTAAATTCAATTGAATATACAAAGAGCTTGAGTGAATCCCGCTTTGTGACAAATACGAATTGGAGCCTACCAAAAATGTTAATTCGTTTCAATTCATTTGAATTAGTTTTTTTTTACTGGGTACTTTCGCCACGCCAAATTTTACTTTCGCCACGCTCTTCTGAGCAGTTGAGAAAAGTTCTACTTTCGCCACACTTTTCTACCAAGAAAAGTACTCCTTTCAGAGCAAGTGTTGGAGAAAATAAATTTTTTAAAAATTGTATTTTCAGGGTGGCCACCGGACCTTGAAACCTTGAAAACCTTAAAATGGACGTGAATTTTGTCAAACCTTGAAAAAACCGTGAATTGGACGTGAATTTTTTTAAAAACCTTGAATTTTAGTGTTATATATATTATTAAAACTGAAAAAAAATTTTTTGACTATTTTCAAAATTTTTTTTTTGAAAAAATTAAAATTTTTCAGGGTTTCCACAGGTCAGAAAAATCAGGGAATTCAGGGAAAAATCAGAGATTTTTATTTAAGTAACTGGAAAAAATTGAATTTTGAAGAAGTTACAAATGATTGCATAAATTCAATTATTTTTAAAAGTAATAAAATTCTTAGCAGAAATTCAATTATGTTTGAAAATGAAAAAAAATTCTCATAAAAATTCAATTATCTTTAAAAATAATAAAATTCTTCTCCAAATTTCAATTATTTTCAAAAATTTTAATAAAATTCTTGGCAAAATTTCAATTATTTTCAAAAAATTTTTCTCAATTCAACGATTTTCAATATCTACAGTTTTAATAAAATTTTTCAGAAGAATTCAATTATTAAAAAAAAAAATTTTGATAAAATTCTAAGCAAACTTTGCAATAATTCAATTATTTTTATAAATAATAACATTTTTTACAAAAATTCAATTATTTTCATAAATAATAAAATTCATCATAGAATTTCAATTGTTTAATACAATTTCAATTGAATTCCTCGAAAAATTTTATTATTCTTGAAAATTTTATTAAAATTTCTTGACAAAAATCAAATTTGTTGATAAAATTCTTTATGTTAATTTAGTTTCGAAAAACATTCATTTATTCAATAAATTATTTATTTTTGTATTTAAATAATTGAATTCTTGTAGAATTTTCCAATAAGAATTGATTTTGAAATGAATATTAGTTAAAATTTTAGATAATAATTGAATATTAAAAGCATTATAGCATGAATTTTTTAAAATACATAATTGATAAAATACATAAAACATAATTGAATTCTTTCGAAGAATTTTAACAAAATTTTTAAAAATAGTGACATTTTTCGAAGAATTTACTTAAAATTGTATTAAAAATAATTGAAATCCTGTGAAGAATTTTATTAATTTATGAAAGTAATTGAATTCTTGCAATGAATTTTTTCAATTTTTTTTAAAATTATTAAAATAATGTAAAGAATCTTATTACAGTAGAGACTCCATTATCCGGACTAATGGATGCAGGCACTTGTCCGGATAATCAAAAATCCGGATAATCGAGTAAAGTACGAATTAAACAAATTTTTGATTCATAATTTTATGTATTTATTTGCATATATGTATTAAAATAAGACAGAAACAAACTAAACTTTTAAAGTCAACATTAATAAATATTTAGTTAGAAATATTTCAAAATATTTACATAACCATTTTCTTAAAATAATTAAAACACTTTAAAACGCAACATTTCGTGTAAATAAATTTAAAATAGAAGTTAATTAACGGCTTGAGACCTTATAAACTTTATATTAAAAAAAAAATTTTTATTTTAAATTTGTCCGGATAATCGAATATCCGGATAATAGGGGTCCGGATAATGGAGTCTCTACTGTATTTATGAAAATAATTGAATTCCTGCATCGAATTTTATTACATTTTTCTTAAATAATTGAATTCTTTTCAGAACTTGTATTAAAAAAGTAGATTGTGAAAATATTTGAATTTCAATGAAGAATTTAATTATATTCGTGAAATGTAATTAAATTCTTATAAAAAAATTAAGAGAATAATTCCATTTTTCTAGGAATTTACTTTAAATTGTATTATAAATAATTGAAATCCTCAGAAAAATTTTATACTTTATGAAAATAATGGAATTCTTACAACGAATTTTATCAATTTTTTTTAAATAATTGAATTCATGTGGAAAATTTTATTAAGGGAAGTGTTCCGGTTGTGGGCACCCTTTTGTTTTTGCCTCATAACATTTGTCCATGTGCATATTATACAAATATATGTGTACGAATTTAAAGCTAGAGGTCTAAGGTGACTGTCAGTGAAGGAATTAAATTGATTCCTTTAAATAAAAAAGTTTTATTAGAAATTTAGTGAAATGGGAATTTTTTGACAAAAAAAATTTTGCACCCGGTTGTGGGCACCCTTGAAAAATCCGCTAAAAATGGAAAAATATTAAAGGAAACCAACACAAATAAAGAAGAAATGAAAGTTTCTTTATTTTAAGAGAATTTGCCGGGATAAAGAACAAAAATGATGACACGTTTTCACACTATGCTCATCGCTAACAAAAGCATAATGCTTCATGTGAAGTAGCTAGTACGCATACCATACCGCACTTCTAATGCACTGAACGACTATATTCATCGCATTTAATGGAGTTTGCGGCTGTCACTTTCCTTGGCAGAAAGTTTAGATAGATGAGACAGTAGTCCTCATCATTGTCAGATGGTAGAGCCTCCTTAACATAAAGGTGCCCACAACCGGGAATGACAGTCATTTCTTAAAAAGACCAACACATTTTGTGATGCAGAATTTTGGTTAAACACGAA